ACTTAACCCTCAATATCAACATTTGTACTTGGACCTTTTAAATCCTAGTTAAGTGTAGTCTGTACTTTGCGTGAGTTGGATGTACACTTACATCCCAACCTCAACCAAATGTGATCAACCGTAACATCCAACCCACTATTGGAGATTTCAGCTCATTTCATTGGAATCGCCCCCAATTCCCTTCCCATCCATCCCTTTCTCATTTCCGATGTTCTTAAGAGTTAAGTGCCATGAGCTCATCACCTAATGCATCAATTCAGGCTCAAGGTCTTACAAACTGCTTTCACTAGATTCAACAACTTTTCTATAGAGGCGATCGTGTTGTTGCTAGACTGGATCCAAGCATCCTGAGTGGGTGCTGAACCAGTGCCGCAGTTTTAATGGGGCCAGGAAGAGCGGGGGGCAAGTGTGTGCTGGTTGCTTGAGATTCCATCTAGTGTAGATGATTCTTGAGATACTGGCCTCAGCAATCCAATATAGTATGGGCTGATGGTGTGCTCCCAAGTGTGCCTAACTGGGCAGCTTCACATTCCGGTCAAGTTGGTGCCAGTCATATCATATCATATCATATCATATCATATCATATCATATCATATCATATCATATCATATCATATCATATCATATCATATCATATCATATCATGTCATGTCATGTCATGTCATGTCATACCATATCATATCGTATCGTATCGTATCGTATCGTATCGTATCGTATCGTATCATATCATATTATATCATCGCACACATCCCTAATAGAATGGGCAGGACAGAAGCAAAGAGGTCAAGGGTAATAGAGGCAGTGCAGCCAGGAGATTCACCCTTCGTCATTAACCGCATGGCAGCAAAGGAGCTTTGTCACATGTGCCTTGTGCCTTGTGCCTTGTGCCTTGTGCCTTGTGCCTTGTGCCTCGTGCCTCGTGCCTTGTGCCTTGTGCCTTGTGCCTTGTGCCTTGTGCCTTGTGCCTCGTGCCTCGTGCCTTGTGCCTTGTGCCTTGTGCCTTGTGCCTTGTGCCTTGTGCCTCGTGCCTCGTGCCTTGTGCCTTGTTCCCAATATGCCCCTTGTTTGTCGTGCCTTGCTTCCATTGTGCTCCTTGTTTGTCATGCCTTGCTCCCATTGTTTGTGCCCCTTGTTTAACAAGCCTTGCTCTCCATATGCCCCATGTTGTGCCTGGATAGGTCTCTTGGCGGTAACATGCTCACTGGCGCAATCCCTTCATCCATCTTCCATCTCACCAATCTTGCCTTGTTGTGCGTCTAGCCTTCCAGCCCAGCAATCTTGTTCCTGTTCTCGTGTGTGTGTGTGTACATTCAGGGACATCCTAGCTGAAACACAGTAACCATTGCGTTTGAGTAGAGTCAAAACACTCCCGAGTGTGTGGTGTACGTCTAGAGACATCTGAACCGACACACAGTACCCTCCCTTTGCCCAGGCCTCTCCCCCTCCTCCGTTTTCATCTCTTAACTAGCCTCCCTTTTCTGTTCGCGCATTTTCACCATTGAGGGATGAGTCACGGGCCTAGGGTGGCTTGTTGCTTGGTGGATCCCCGAGTGGGCTCTCTCATAACGAGCAAGTCAGTCTCCCATCAACGCTGCACTGGCTTGCTTCGCCAGCCAGCCGTGATTGAGTCTGTTTTTTTGGATAAGCATCCCTCAACACTCCAGGCACTTACCAGCCGTTTCACGAATAAGTTATGCCAACTGGTGAAAACAAACAAGCGTGGTGCGTTATGTAGAAGCAGCTGCACTGAGAATGCTATGCCCCCGGATGAGAACGTGGTGTGTGTGCATGTGTCTATGTATGAAGGTGGGCTAATTGCAAAATGAAAGAAGAAGTGGTTTGAGTTGCCTCTCTCGTCCGTGGTTTGATGCTGCTTTTAAAGTCTCTCAGCTCACTCACACTGAGTCCACAATTCAAATTTCTTGCGGTTTCCATCCCCACGCATGCCGTGTGCTTGACGCCGTGTGCTTGACGCCGTGTGCTTGACACCGTGAAATGCATGGCAGAGATTTCCGCTGGAATCGGCTGTCAGGCTCCATTCCCGCAGCCATCTCTCATTTGGCTGTCCTCTCACACCTGTCAGTACGCCTCACTGACTCTCGCTTAGCCTCACTGACTCTCATCCCGGCGAGGCGAACACAGGCCCACCCTGATCCACGCTGATCCCAACTCTCAAACCACGCGACTGCATGCAGGCTCATGCAGGCTCATGCTGGGCCGCTGGTTATGCAGAGCCCTTGGTGGGCCGCCTCTGCACTGTCACCTCTGGGCGTGGTCCGAGGCGACCCTTGCTCATGCATGCTCTATGCCCATGCATGCTCTATGCTCATGCATGCTCTATGCCATGCATGCTCTATGCTCATGCATGCTCTATGCCATGCATGCTCTATGCTCATGCATGCTCTATGCCATGCATGCTCTATGCTCATGCATGCTCTATGCCATGCATGCTCTATGCTCATGCATGCTCTATGCCATGCATGCTCTATGCTCATGCATGCTCTATGCCCATGCATGCTCTATGCTCATGCATCCTCTATGCCATGCATGCTCTATGCCCATGCATGCTCTATGCTCATGCATGCTCCTAGGTTATGTTCGCTGTCTCTATTCTCCTCTTCTTCCAATCAACTGCCATTTAAGCACACCGTCCTTTGCCCCTTCGACTCTGAGACAATGACTGAACGTTTCCAAACAGAATGCTTGCAGAGTCATCAACGTGGATCAACATGGATCGATTTAGAATACTTGCGGAATACTTGCACACGTTTCCGCAACGCAATTATGCTGTTTGGATCTCCTCTTGTGCCATGCCTTGTGGCTTGCACCTGCATTCTTCACATATTAGCTCTCGGACGCTGGACTCTAGTTCAAGGGGGATAAGTATGGATGGTGTGTCCACATGGCGTGGCATGGTGATGGTGAATCCACAGAGACCTCAGCTTCAACATCAAGATCGCGGGCTCCATTCCCCTCCAGATGCAGCGCCTTACCAAGCTGCAATCTCTGTAATTGAGCCTCTGATTCCCCTCTCACCACGTTCCACTTGGACTCACCATTGACTGCCCGTAAAGTTCCCCTTTCTGTGAAGGTGATGATCCGTAATTGTGTGTGCATCTTTGCTAGTGTACGTGTGCACGCGTGCCTTGTATGCCATGAGTGCCATGCATGGGTGTGTGCCATGTGTGGGTGTGTGAGTGGGTGGGTATTTGCGTGTGTGTATGCGTGCATGCATGAGTGTGTGCGTGCACACATGCGCGTGTGGATGTGTGTGCGTTGTGTGCGCATTTGTGTGCATGCATTTGCATGCGTGCATGTCTGAGTGCGTGTCTTCATGTGTGCATGTGTGTGTGTGTGTGTGTGCGCGCGCGCGCGCGCGCGTGCGCTCGAGTGCGTGCGAGCGTGCGTGTGTGTGCATGCGTGCGTGTGTGTGTGCGTGCGTGCATGTGTGTGTGCGTGTGCATGCGTGCGTGTGTGTGCGCGTGTGTGTGTGCGTGCATATGTGTGTTGGCGTGTGTGTGCCTGTGAGTGTGTGCTTGTGCGTGCGTGCGTATGTGTGTGTGAGTGTGTGTGTGTGTGTGTGTGTGCGCGCGTGTGCATATGTGCATGTGTGCGCGCGCGTGTGTGTGTGTGCGTGTGCGTGTGTGTGCGTGCGTTTGTATGTGTGTGTGTATGTGTGTGTGTGTATGTGTGTGTGTGTGTGTGTGTGTGTGGTTCTACACATATCTGTGCAGATACCTCAGCTATTTGAATCTGTCAGGTCCCTTCCCAGCCTGGATATCTGGTCGCACCAATCTCAGAAATTTGTATGACATCTGTGCTCTCTTTCCCTCAACCATGGTCATAGAAAACATATTAGCGTTCTTTTCTCCTCCCGTCCATGCTCCACTCCCCCCCCCAATGTATCTCTTGTTGATAATAAGCTGGACAATCGCTAGACTTTGATTCTTTGTTCCAGGGTCCTTTTGTGAAGGCACTTTAGGTTGGTTAGGTGTAAAGTGTTTCATCCCCAACCTATCCAACCTTATCCATCCAAAATTTCTTCTGTTTGGATAAATCCCCTAGATCGCCCCTCGTATCCCTTCCATTCCCGGTAGATTCCTCTTACACCTTCATCCCCCCTTATTTAAGCAGAGAGCAACAATGTGGCCAATAATGTACTCTTTTGAGGCGCCTCACAAGTCAATACATGTACTCCGCATCATTCACCTTGTGTTCATGGTTAATGCGGAGCAACTGTACCATCAAAATCTGTATTGTGCAACCATACCCTTGTCCATTCCACTGACGTCATTGTGCACGCGGGGCTGGTTGCAGCGAGGCTGCTCACAACAGCATTAGTGGCAGCATACCAGAGTCTATTGGCAGCACCATCCAACTCGAAGTCTTGTAAAACTATAAACCTTCTGGTTTTAACTCGTAAACTTTCTGGTTTTTTAACCCATCAGCCTTCAAGTTTAGTAAACCATCAAACTTCAATCAAGCTTTGAACCATCAAGCCTTGTAATTTCTCCGACCCCTTCATGTTGTGATTGTGGCATGGCCATCACATGTTCTCATGTTATCACATGCCATGCCTTCACATTTGCTTACGCCATCACTTGCACTCATATCATCACATGCACTCATGCTTTCACTTGCCATGCCATCACATGCGCTTATAACATCACATGCACTATTCCATCACATGCACTCATGCCATCACATGCATTCATGCCATCACATGAACTCATGCCATCACATGCACTCATGCCATCACATGCATTCGTGCCATCACATGCACTCGTGCCATCACATGTCCTCGCGCTATCATATGCACTCATGGCATCACTTGCACTCATGCCATCACATGCACTCATGCCATCACATGCACTCATGCCATCAAATGCATTCGTGCCATCACATGCACTCATGTCGTCACATGTCCTCATCCTATCATATGTACTCATGATATCACATGCACTCATGGCATCATGGCATGAAGTGCACTCATAACATCACATGCACTCGTGCCATCACATGCACTCATGCCATCACATGGATGCCGTCACATACATGCCATCTCATGCAGTATTGCCACTCATGCCTATCATCCAGTTCGCAACTCACTGCACCCTATCCCTACTGCACCTTATCCCTACTGCACCTTATCCCTATCTCTTCTGCATTTATCTCTGCTCCCTTTTTGCCACTGCTCCCTATCCCTCCTCCCTATCCGCCACTGCTCCCAATCCCTCCTCCCTATCCGCCACTGCTCCCAATCCCTCCTCCCTATCCGCCACTGCTCCCAATTCCTCCTCCCTATCCGCCACTGCTCTATCCCTCCTACTCCCTATCCGCCACTGCTCCCTATCCCTCCTACTCCCTATCCGCCACTGCTCCCTATCCCTCCTACTCCCTATCCGCCACTGCTCCCTATCCCTCCTACTCCCTATCCGCCACTTCTCCCTATCCCTCCTACTCCCTATCCGCCACTTCTCCCTATCCCTCCTACTCCCTATCCGCCACTGCTCCCTATCCCTCCTACTCCCTATCCGCCACTGCTCCCTATCCCTCCTACTCCCTATCCGCCACTGCTCCCTATCCCTCCTCCCTATCCGCCACTGCTCCCAATCCCTCCTCCCTATCCGCCACTGCTCCCAATCCCTCCTCCCTATCCGCCACTGCTCCCAATCCCTCCTCCCTATCCGCCACTGCTCCCTATCCCTCCTCCCTATCCGCCACTGCTCCCAATCCCTCCTCCCTATCCGCCACTGCTCCCTATCCCTCCTCCCTATCCGCCACTGCTCCCTATCCCTCCTCCCTATCCGCCACTGCTCCCTATCCCTCCTCCCTATCCGCCACTGCTCCCTATCCCTCCTCCCTATCCGCCACTGCTCCCTATCCCTCCTCCCTATCCGCCACTGCTCCCTATCCCTCCTCCCTATCCGCCACTGCTCCCAATCCCTCCTCCCTATCCGCCACTGCTCCCTATCCCTCCTCCCTATCCGCCACTGCTCCCTATCCCTCCTCCCTATCCGCCACTGCTCCCTATCCCTCCTCCCTATCCGCCACTGCTCCCTATCCCTCCTCCCTATCCGCCACTGCTCCCTATCCCTCCTCCCTATCCGCCACTGCTCCCTATGTCTCCAAGCCCCTATCCTAGGCATGGACAGACAGGCGAGCCCAGTCTGGCCCGAGTCGACTTTGGGCTTGCCAAATGATGAATCCCGCCGGTTCACCTCGAAGCGAACCTGGCAAGGCCTGCCCCCAAGACCCTTGCGTTATTTTTTGCCAAGGGGTCCTTGTATGGGCATTCAGTGAAAATCTGAAGCTCATGTTTTAGCTCAGCCTAGTCCCCAGTCCCATTCTTCACCAACCTACCTGTCCTCTCCATGGTTAATTTCCACTTGCAATTATTAGCGAAACTAATATGTCCAGTCCATGCTCATGCCTGCCCTGGCCTGGCCTATCCATCACTGCACCCTATCCCCTGTGCCACAGCTCTCACTCCCGCACCCCTATCCGCCCCTCCTGCACCCCTATCCACCCCTATGCACCCCTGGCCCCCTCACTGCATGCAATGCAGCAGCTCCGTGTAGAGAAACAACCTGTGAGGCAGCATTCCCGAGTCCTCACCCCTATCTGCCCCTCCTGCACCCCTATCGGTCCACCCTGCGTGCACCCCTGGCCCTCACTACATGCAACAGGTCCATATGGAAAAACAACCTGTCAGGCAGCATTCTCGAGTCCATAGGCAGCCTCACCAAGCTTAGCAGCCTGTCAGTGCCCTCCATTGTCAACCCCTTACCACTGGCTTGAGAGTTCTCTCAATAATCATTCCACGTGAGACAGGTGTGTCAGTGCCTCACCACGCACAGCAGCCTGTCAGTGTCTCACCACGCTCAGAAGCCTGTCAGTGTCCCTCCCGCCCCCTCCCTCCCTCCCCCCTCCCCCCACCCTCCCCCCTCTTTTTTGTTTTTTTCCAGGTATTTTGGATGTAACTGTCTAGCTCTCTCTAGGGAATGTGTGATTTGGGCTAAGGATCACTATAACAAAGTATGGCCTGTATTGGAAAATCTTGTCACACTGGACCTGGACCAGTTTGATTTGAATCGAACCGCCTCTGGTTCGGTTCACACCGGCCTTACGGGTCGAACCTCGGCTCTTCAACTGGTTTGATATGGGTCGAACATCAAACCTCAAAATGGTGTAAGCTTGAAAGGTCAAAACCACACTGGTAGCTTGAAAGGTCAAAACCACACTGGTAGCTTGAAAGGTCAAAACCACACTGGTAGCTTGAAAGGTCAAAACCACACTGGTAGCTTGAAAGGTCAAAACCACACTGGTCCGTTTTGGTAATTTGCTTCTGCCTAGCCATGAGATACAGCCTGTCAGTATTTCCAGCACAACCATCCCACCTCGGGCTTACCTTGCAGCTGATGCAGGGAGGGGAGAGGGTAGTGGTACACCCAAAAGGAGTACATGCCTTTTGTTTAGCTGCCTCAAAATTCAATTCTCTTCTCACAACAGTACAGGGGTAGCAGCGCGTGCTTTCTCCCTGAGCCTCCCTCCTCTGCTCATGCTCGTTCGTGTTTCACGAGAGTATTTGCTGTGCAGGGTGCCACCTCCCCGCCACTCGTGCAGGGTGCCAGCTCCCCGCCACTCGTGTAGATCATGTGGCCGCTGAGGCTGACGAGTGTGTTGCAGGGACTTTGTAGGTCGGTTTTGAGACATTTTAGGTCGGTTCTGAGACTTTGTAGGTCGGTTCTGAGACTTTGTAGGTTGGTTCTGAGATTTTGTAGGTCGGTTCTGAGACTTTGTAGGTCGGTTCTGAGACTTTGTAGGTCGGTTTTGAGACATTGTAGGTCGGTTCTGAGACTTTGTAGGTCGGTTCTGAGACTTTGTAGGTCGGTTCTGAGATTTTGTAGGTCGGTTCTGAGACTTTGTAGGTCGGTTCTGAGACTTTGTAGGTCGGTTCTGAGACTTTGTAGGTCGGTTCTGAGACTTTGTAGGTCGGTTCTGAGACATTGTAGGTCGGTTTTGAGACTTCTCAGCACCGGCCTACAAAAACAAGAACAGTCGATCACATGGCTGACAAGCGTGGTGCAGGGACTTGTTAGACAACCACTTTAAAGAAGCCCTTTGGAGTCGCCTCAAACCTCCCAAACTCCCCTCCACTTGTGTAGGAGCAAACAACCGATGATGTGACTGACAAGGCTGATGAGTGTGTTGCAGGGACTTGTCAGACAACCAGTTTGAAGGAACCGTCCCCGAGGGCATTGGCAACATGAAGTATATTCGGAAATTGTGAGATTGCTGAATGAATCCTCCTCTTGATTCCTCCTTTGAATTTCCAACCCCAATCTTGATTAATCTTCTGCAAACATCACGCTGGAAATTTCCACCCTCTGTGTTGTTTTCATTGCATTCCCTCCCTCTCTCATACCTACACGCGATGCCGTCACTGTGTGCCGTACACGCTATGCCATGCAGTTCTCTAGATTGTACCTCTGTTGGCCAAAGTACGACAGGAGAAACGCCATCGCTGTGTGTGCACTGTGTGTGACTGCGTTGCATGAGCTCGCAGGGACCTTTCCAACAACCACTTGACCGGCTCTCTCCCCACCACCCTCGCTCGCCTCTCTGGCCTAGAACAGCTGTGAGCCCTATGGCGATTACTATCTATTTCATCGCCACTAGCCTCCCTGACCGCCTTGCCTCCGTTCGCGACGCGCTTCTGCTGAAGCACCCTAGTGAGCTCACCGTCGAGGTTCTTGAGTCTGCACTCAAGGACGTCGAGAGCAACCTTCGCTCGGTAGCCGCTGCCTCTGGTGCTGTGCCCCCCCCACTCTTCCACGGGTGCACAGTCCCGCAGTTACCCACCTTTACTGCCTCACTTGCCACTGCCGCTACTGACGCGACTGCAGCTGCTGTTACGACTGCGTCGCGGTCCCGCGGTAGGAGTGGCAAGAAAGGCGGTTCTGGTGGTGGTAGTGGAGGTGGAGGCGGAGGTAGTGGAGGTGGCGTTGCGCCTGGCGGCGGTGGAGGTTCAGGGCCTGGAGAGGCGCCTCGTGCAGTGACTGCAATCTGCAGTGATAGAGGCAATCGGTATAGCACACGGTGGAGTGTTGTTAAGGCGTAGAGGGATACACATGTGTTCCGCAAATGATTCAACATGTCCGTGGTATGGCGCTTACATGTTATGAAAGTCGATAAGCGGCTGCGTTATCGGCTGATCATCGGTGATGTGTAGAGCGTCGGCCATCGTGATAACAGCCGTCATTTGGTTATGATCGTGAATGGCATTGGTGGGGAAAAGTGGATGTGTGAACTTGCCCGCTGTAGCTCTCGACTTGTCAAGAGTATTTAGGAAGGGGTTTTTAGTTTCACCGATGATTCTAGTGATGAGGTCATTCGGCTGAGTATCTACCAAAGGCTTGTCAAGGTTTAGGGCGACGCCATAATCATGCGGGGCTACTTTCTTCAAGACCACTGGTTCAGATGGCGTGGCGCCCTGCTCTGTGTTTGTCGTCACGTTTGCTTTAGATGGAAGCCTATCGCTGCGACGAACGCCGTCATCTTCTCCGGATTCAACGTCGGGGGTCAACGTGCCATCAACTCTTCGTTGACGCTTCCCTCTACCACGAGTTGCACGGCCTGTCATAGCCTCAGATTTTAGCGCGCTATTCGATCAAGTATCCCGTTAGGAAACGGTAGAGGTAGGTAGGAATGCTAGGAGCTTAAAACGTAGGAGGGCTAGAGTCGTCCCTAATAGCTATGTAACCCTAACTTAGCGTTCTGGTCATAATGGCGTGAGTAATGGTTTTTTTATTCTAATATGACTTTGTTTTTAAGGCGTGTTTAGTTTGTAAAACTCTCTGTGTCATTTATGGTACGTCTTGCGTGATTTAAGTATAACAACGCTTCGCGCGCGAACAATCGCAGCAACGCTGGTTGTTTCCCGATATCTGCGCAACCAGTCGAAGGTGGGGTCGCCATTTTTGCGTGGTAACTGCGAGCCTTTCAGCTCGCATGGGTGACGTTCAAAAAATTGTAACGCGCACGTTTGTTGCCTGTGAATATGCGCGACTGGATTGCCGCGCATATGCGCGAGCCAATCAGAAACATGCCGAATGTGAGCGGTCATATTTGCGTGCATTTTGACCATTCAATCGCGCGAGGAATATGACCGGTCATATCCACGTGCAATTTGACCCGGAATTCGCACGTGTCATATGGCCGGTCATATGCCGGTCAAAGGGTCGAAAAAAAACCCGATATTGTACAGTACATTGCGTTTGCGCGTGCATATGGCCAGCCCACTAGAGGCGTAAAAAATTAGATCCTTAAAATAGTTTTTAGAAGATTTCGTTTGCATCAATTTTGATCGATGTCAGGTATGACTTGGGCATCCCCATTACAAGGTGTTTTATACTGGCGATGGCAATACTACGAATGCATCTGGTTGGTGGTGGGTGTTACTGAGGGTCGCATTGGTGACACATGACAAAGTCCCGGGCATTTAACGTCGTACGCTGTGTTATAATTTGCGTAAACATTCCCGATTTGGCCGGCAGATAATTCAACAAGTGTGTACGTGCAATACAGCTAACCTCATATGATAATAAACTTCCTTGTTTTAACAGGACCCAACCACGCAATGTGGTCTTGAAACAACCTGCCATTTGTAGAAAAGTATCCTTTCACTGGATGTAGCATCACTGTGTTCCTATAGAATGTAATAACTCAATCCGTTTTTTTATAATTGGGCCCATGGCATAATCTACCTCGCTTACTTGGATGAAACAACACACCGATAAAACATGTGAATGGTTTAAACCAATTAAATGTATGGTCCGTTGGTAGTGGTCACACCAACAAGTAGAAGATCCCCTACCATATTACGAATACTGCGTGTTGGTTTGACTATCGTTGGTTGGGATACATGCACCTAACCCCTACAGTTAGACCTCCTCTAACAAACCTCACTAGCAGCACAACATTTGGCACATACGTCTTTGCAAATCTGATATGTGACCGTTGCCAACACAACTAGTTTTGTTTCCGTTGGGTCAAATGAACATATGCGTGGCGTATGAATGTGTTGCAGCGCGTTGACAAAACGTTGCTAACGAGTGTGTTTTTTGTGCTTGCCCTGGTTGTTGTTTTGTCTTATTTTGTGTTGCCCTTGGTGTCATAATAATGTGTATTGTCAGATCGTTGGTACCTGGTGTTTATGATAAGGGATTTTAAAATTAAAAAAAAAAATCCTACAGACGTAACATTAGGCCTGCGCGGTAACAGCGAACCCTTCATCCGGTCAATAGACCGTTCAATGGCGCGACGGTGTGAATATCGTGTTTATGTGACCGGTCATATGCGCGTGTGTATATTATCAGTCATTTGATTTTTTGCAAATCAGTGGTACATGGCGATAGTGTATATGACCGGTCATCTTTTACTTGGGATGAACGTTCATAAAGCCGCCCATAGTGGCCTACCAGTATAGAGGAGCCTAATTAGCTGGTTCCAAGAGATTATTATTCAACAGTCAACAGTCGGCAATCAAGCACTCCCTGTACCACTAATTTGCTACATGATACACCCCTGACCCCCCATATTTCCCCTTACACTTCTTTCTCGTATGCTCAGTCGACCCACAGTTGCCACAATTGTATGACCGTTTTGGTGCTTCACGCCTCCGTTTAGATCGTGGGCGCCCTGATCCTCTCTGCAAAAAAACAGGGGCATCACAAACCCCGGCCTCAACTGGTTCAGTTTCCGCAATCACAGTGTCCACACACGAATACGAAATGAGCGCCTGGTAAGTCCTCCTCCAGTTGTCTGTCTTCCAATACCTACTGATCAAGGGAATAACATCCATCCCCCTATCCCGTAAGTGTGCAAACGCATGTGAGCATGGAAACCTATACTCTTGCCAGTTTTTGCACTCGCACAACCTCTCTCCCACATCATTGTTGAAGGAGAGTGGTCGTTGATCCAACATCGACCCCTTGTTCCGAACCCTTGCCTTATTTGGACCGTTGCGTGTGACCCTGTAACCACGGCTTCGGTTCTTTTTCAGCTCGAACCGCTTCTCAGCTTCGACCGTCAACGAATTATGCCAGTTCGAAGACTTCCGCTGCCCATCCGAGTATATCTTCTCCATCTAGTCCCACATGCCCGCCATTACAAAGGAGACCGGTAGGATACGGATTTTCTTGATAGCGTTGTTTATTGACTCCACCATTTGGCTGCTGTAGATGCCAAACCGACATGTGGGGGCATAACACCGTGTCCATTGTTTGATGAAGACAGAGATTTTCTTCTTCCTCTTATATCTCGGTCCATCATGTCCAGTGCGAACGATGATACCCGCTCCTTCCTCCATGTTATCAACTTTCTCCAGCTCCGCATCTGCACTGCCCAACCCCCCCATGCCCATCCCTACAGTGTGGTTGACATCTTCAGCCGCTGCGGCCTCGGTGGCCTGACCCGTTGCTTGGGCTACACCCTGCTGCGGTGCTTGCGATCGGACATTTTGGCTCCCTTGCGTTGGCATCTGTGACCCTGGTGATTGGGCGTGGTCTAACCCTCTGGCCCTACCCTCTCTTGCTGTCTGCTTCCCCCTGATAATCTCCTTCCGCAGTTTGCGTCGCATGGCCGCTTGCTGCGCTGGTGTAGAAGTAGTGTTGGCATGTGAACACTGACCCATGTCTGTACACTCCTCATGTTCATCATCCTCCGGTTCCTCTGGGCAGCTGATTCGGCTCCCGTCCTCTACGTCAAAGTGCTCATTGAACACCTCTGTTGTAGTATCTGCCTCCTCTTGACCGTCAGACATGGTTGCCATAACGTCTTCCACAGTCTCGCCTGCAAATGATGGGAGGTCGGTTGTTGTTGCTGTCACAGGATCCGACTGATGCTGAGACGGTGGCTGTTGAGATGGCTGTTGCTGGGATGGTTGCTGATGAGGTGGTTGCTGCTGAAGTGATGGCCGCTGTGATGGAAGCCGCTGTGATGATGGCTGCTGAAAACGTGGCTGTTGAGATAGTGGATGCGGAAATGGCTGCTGATGAGAAGGCAGCTGCTGGGATGGTTAGTGCCGAGATGGTGGCTGCTGATGTGGTGGATGCCGAGGTGGTGGCTGCCGAAATGGTGGATGATGAAATGGTGGCTGCTGAGATCGTCGCCGCTGAGATGGTGACTGATGTGATAGTGGCTGCTGAGATGGCATCTGCTGCTCCTCCCTGCGTCCACTCCTCCTTAGCCTTCGCACTTCCATCCTTGCCATTCTAGCTCTTTTTGCGACACTCGTCCGGCTCCCTAACCCATCCTCGGCCTCTGACTCCCTCGCTCGCTGGTCGTCGCCACGCCCGCCACGGGTCTGCGCACGGGCCTCTTCCACCCCAAATAGGTAGTTCGCCATCGCAGCACACTGCAACCGGCATCTCCTCACAAGTTTGCCAAACTTTCGCTTGGTGCGGCAGTTGGCGAGCTTCTTGAAGAGTTCAGAGGCGTTAGGGCCAAACTTGAGCACATTCTGCTCCAAGTGCCAGCTGCAAAAGAAGTGGGGGAACTGGGATGGAAACACTTCTTTAACCGCCGGTATTAACCCCTTGTCACGATCACTGATGAGGGAGGCATCCTGGGTGTACGGCCACAATGGAAAATGCATCAACAAATTCTCACAAAACCACTTCCAACTGTCTTTATTCTCGCTCTCGCAAAGACCATAAGCGAGTGGAACAAGCTGGTTATTTCCATCCTTTGCAGCCGCAACCAAGAGCGTAGCCCGCTGCGCTCGAATGAGAAAAGTACCATCCATACCAATAACCGGTCGGCAGAACCTTAGAGCAGTTTTTTATGTCGATGGGGCGACAAACGCCCGGAAGAAAGCTTGGTCCCTCGTCACAAGGTCGAGCGTAGAATCAGGGTCAATCTCTCTAAACCGTTCCAACACCCGCGGAATGTAGCGGAAGGAAGTTTTCCAATCTCCAAAGCGCTCCTTCAGCATCTTTTCCTTGATCCTGCAATGATGTATGAAGATGTTCGAGGAAAGATAGGCACGTCGAGTAATCAGAATGTGAATTGTGTGCCTAAGAATGTGCTTGTGACAATGGAAGCCTTATGGAGACAATGTTTGTACACGTACCGCCATGATTGGTGGTAATTGATATCCAGACCACCGGTAGAGGCAATTTGATCCTTGTACGTCTCGGGAGGGTGATGTGGTGCTGCATGGACAAGGTTGCCATGATGCCGTTGCAGATACGACACTTTATTTGTCGTATGCTTCACGTAGCGGTCCCGATCGACGGGTGAGCAGCAATGAGATGAAGGGGCGGACAGTTTGTCAACACGCCAAAACCCACCCACCCCGTCTGTGGAGTACTCACACCGCCACCGGCACGCTGCTTTTAGACGCTCATGTTGACTCATGCATATGGCGTGGGCTCTGTTTCGCCTACTCCTCGTAAACCTAAATCCGAAGTTGCAAGATACCGAATAGTCTTCCAGTGCCTCATACGAGTATTGCTTAGAGGAATATAGTTGACCTTCACACAACGGGGCTCGATCGTCTATCACAATTTGTGGCGAGCGGTCCTCGTCGACGACCATTTCCCGGAGCAACGCACGGTACATATCACTTTGTTTGGGCTCTCCAGTTCCAACAAAGCAGAACTCTGTATCTTCATCGCATGACTCGGACTCTGTGTTAGAGGTATAAGACATTGAACCCATTGCGGCCTATAGGGACGGTCAAGCCAAAAAAACTCCTAGAAGAACCCCCTATGAGGACCTAAGTGGTCTATTCGAAGGCTAAGGTAGATGTCAACCCTAAAACGACGAGAGGAAATAGTGTGAGCGACCCGGAGCAAATGATTCAAACAATAATGCGCGGGAAGATGATGAAGGAGTACCAGGCGTTTTGGAGCGTTTAACTTTGAACGTAATTGGCTAGAGTTTATGATTGTGCTACTGTATTAACGATATCATTGCCGAGATCATATATTAGATTGAGTTTCAAATGCGTGGTCAATTGTGGTCACAATCCTCAATGATGGCCCCTGATTGGACGGTCATTGGCAAAAAATGGACCGCGCAGATTATTGACGAATCATGCGCGGTCGTTATTGCAGTGGCGGGTTGAAAGGGGTCAATTGAAGTCTATGATCGGTTGTTTATATGATCGGTTGCTTATTGGTTGCGGAATTGATATGCCTACCGATCATTGGTCGCGCAATTAGCCCCATTTGATCGCGCATCTACTGTTGTTCGCGCCCGCCACCCTGGCGAAATTTTTGGGTGCGGAATAGTACGAAAGAATTCCTCGGGATGCCACTCGCACGAATGGGGAATTTCGAGGCTACTAGCTAGAACTGGTACATGCAGTTATTACAATATCAATCTGACAATTCTACACTAGCAAATTCTAATTCATTACAATGTGAACCCGCCTACGAAACGCGATGAAGTAGTTTTTTTACTGACTGTTTGCATTGCACGTTCTCTTCAACACAAATGTTGTTCGGGGCTATATTTCCTGTCACTAACCTCATTGTTCACCCCGGGCTACTTACCGAATGTTCGCTTGTGATGAGATACGGTACGGTAATTGTTTACTGTCCATCTCGAATAAATCAGTGGGAAACAGAATTCCGAGCAAAGGTAGATCAGAGGTCCTTGACCCCATTGTAATTTGCTGCTAGCGAACCTCTAGGGGCCTTTAAACGAGGACAGCACCAGAACCACGGATTTCCAGATCCAAACACCCCCTTCAGAGCTCTAGACACCTCAGAACCGGAGCGATTGAACAAACTCAACCAGAGCCCATCGCCACAAGGCCAACAACTTCCATCTCTCCTGCCTGAATCCATTACTCTTGCCGGCACTACCCTTTTCGGCCCATCCCACATCACCTTGTTATTCCCTGCTCCTTTCTTCGCCTTCAATGAGTCTACATAACCCCCTTCTCCGGATAAAATGAAGTCCAGCTGCTGGTACAGTAACAGCGAGACGGAAGTGCCTGTTCCAAGTGCGACTATAAAGAGGTAAAACGCAATGTACGCCCGGATCGGGAGTTGTTTCCGGGCAGCCCAAAGGGCAGCGGCAAAAGCTTTTGTGGCGGTGGATAGGAAAGAGGTGATATCGTGAGGGGGATTGTGGGGCATGTGAGGCGTGACGTCGAGTGCGGGGAGGAGGAGATAGAGGGTGGTTGCGGTCATTAGGGCGACATAGGTGCAGCTGATTATTGTGGAGAGGAGGAAGAGCAGGAAGTGCCTCTGATTGGCCCGACCCACACAGTTGCCAATCTGGAGTGGTGCGAAGGGGAGAGCGGAGGGGGAGGTGCGGGAGAGGGAGAGATGCGACGGATGGGAGAAGCACAGGCGATGTTTGAGTGAGAGAATAAACACACACACGTTTGAGGCGCCTCAAAACAGAGAATAAATACACGTTACTGACAAGGGCAGACACTCAGGAAAGGGCAGCGATGGTCCATGCTCAGAACGCATGTGCCACAGATGCTGCAGTGGTGGTGATAGTGATAGTGATGGTGATGGTGATGGTGATGGTGATGGTGATGGCGCTGCTGATGATGTTTGAGTCACAAGCTACCTAGAAGGGCAGCCACTCACGAAGGGGCAGTGATGGTCCATGTCCACCACGTGCCACAGCTGCGCCAGTGGTGGTGATGCTGATGTCCCACCACTACAATCCTAAAGAGGCAGGCACCTAAGGAAGCACACAGCACTCACGAAGGGGCAGTGATGGTCCATGTACACCACGTGCCACAGCTGCGCCAGTGGTGGTGATGCTGATGTCCCACCACTACAATCCTAAAGAGGCAGGCACCTAAGGAAGCACACAGCACTCACGAAGGGGCAGTGATGGTCCATGTCCACCACGTGCCACAGCTGCGCCAGTGGTGGTGATGCTGATGTCCCACCACTACAATCCTAAAGAGGCAGGCACCTAAGGAAGCACACAGCACTCACGAAGGGGCAGTGATGGTCCATGTCCACCACGTGCCACAGCTGCGCCAGTGGTGGTGATGCTGATGTCCCATCACTACAATCCTAAAGAGGCAGGCACCTAAGGAAGCACACAGCACTCACGAAGGGGCAGTGATGGTCCATGTCCATAACGCATGTGCTGCAGCTGCTGCAGTGGTGGGCACCGGGGGGCTTGGCTCGGGGCGGGTGGCAACGGCGGCACAACTGCCAGCCGTCAAACGAACCTGCGTGGTAAAGGGGAACCAAGCCAAGCCACACACCCATGGGTGTGGGAAGACATGGGAAAAGGTGTAGCATGTGAAAGAGAGGCATGGGTGGTGTGGGAAGGAAACACATGGGAACGAAGGGCATTTGATGTGGGATATGGAACGTGGTAGATATGATGTACGATTTGAGATGTGCAATGCTGTGACACGTCCGGGGGCTCAAAAGAAGGCATCACGGTTCAGTTTTTGTCGTGATGGCAGTACGGACTTGGGAAGCTCATAAGCGGAGAGCCATACCTTAGTGGTTGGTACCCTTGTTCAAACTTACCTGCCCATACAGTTGGCAGGTCTGCTGAGCCGAAGGGCACACGAGTGACTGGGCCGGCCGGTAGGAGAGCAGAGCAGACACGAGGAAGGAGGGAAGGGAAGAGTAACACCTGATGACCTAATTGAAAGTTCAAACTTACCGGCTGATACCGTTGGCATGTCTGCCGAGCCGAACGGCACACGCGTGACTGGGCTGGCCAGTAGGAGAGCGGAGCAGAGGGGAGCGGGAGAAAACTCACCTGATGACCTAACTGAACGTTTAAACGTACCTGCTGAAACAGTTGGCATGTCTGCTGAGCCGAAGGGCACACGCGTGACTGGGCCGGCCGGGAGGAGAGCGGAGCAGAGGAAGTTGAAGATGGTTTGCAGCGAGAGGAGGAGCGTGATGAGCGAGTGCAGGAGGAAGGGGAGCGGCACGGGCAGGAGACGAGGCGGAGGAGAGTAGTGGTGGCGGGAGGGAGGGTGGAGGGGACAGATGATAGGGAAGGTTGTGAGGATGCCACCAACTGGAAAGGGGAGGGAGGAGAGAGAGGGGAAGCCCCGGAAAGGAAAAAACGGAAGGCTTTTGAGGCGCCTCACAAGTCAGATGACAGGGAATGTGGAGAGAATGCCTGCAACTGCAGAAGGGGAGGGAGGAGAGGAGCGGAGGGATGGGAAGGGAAAGGAAAAGGGGGAGGGGGCGGAAGGAGAGAGGACGAGAGGGGAGGGAAGGGAAGAAGGGGATAGGACGAGGTGCATTCGCTTAAGGTTGGAGAGGGTGGATGACAAGGAAGGTGGTGAGGATGCCGCCCACTGGAAAGGGGAGGGAGGAGAGGCACGGAAAGGACAGAGGAAGAGAGGAGAGGCGAGGGAGGGAGGGGATGACGGGGAGGGAGAATATATTACTGACAGAAGGTGGAGGGGAGAGAGGATGGGGAGGGGAGGTGGTGAGTATGCCGCCAAGGTGCAAAGGGAGAGCGGAGGGAGGAGAGGAGGAGGGAGGGAGGGAGGGAAGAGACGGGAGAGAAAGGCAGGGAAGAGAAGGAGAGAGGAGAGGAGAGAAGAGAAGAGGTAAGGGGAAGTGAGGAGTGGAGATGATGGGGGAAGGAAGAAGATGCCATTGACATGACAGAGGGTGGATGGGACGGATGGGACAGCTATATTGGTGTTACTTTTGAGAATTCTCAAAAGCAACACTGACAGAGGGTGGACGGGACGGATGGGACAGCTATGTTGGTGTTACTTTTGAGAATTCTCAAAAGCAACACTGACAGAGGGTGGACGGGACGGATGGGACAGCTATGTTGGTGTTACTTTTGAGAATTCTCAAAAGCAACACTGACAGAGGGTGGACGGGACGGATGGGACAGCTATATTGGTGTTACTTTTGAAAATTCTCAAAAGCAACACTGACAGAGGGTGGATGGGACGGATGGGACAGCTATATTGGTGTTACTTTTGAGAATTCTCAAAAGCAAAACTGACAGAGGGTGGATGGGACGGATGGGACAGCTATATTGGTGTTACTTTTGAGAATTATCAAAAGCAACACTGACAGAGGGTGGATGACGGATGGGACAGCTATATTGGTGTTACTTTTGAGAATTCTCAAAAGCAACACTGACAGAGGGTGGATGGGACGGATGGGACAGCTATATTGGTGTTACTTTTGAGAATTCTCAAAAGCAACACTGACAGAGGGTGGATAAGACGGATGGGACAGCTATGTAGGTGTTATTTTTTAGAATTCTCTAAAGCAACACTGACAGAGGGTGGATGGGACGGATGGGACAGCTATGTTGGTGTTACTTTTGAGAATTCTCAAAAGCAACACTGACAGAGGGTGGATGGGACGGATGGGAAAGCTATGTTGGTGTTACTTTTGAGAATTCTCAAAAGCAACACTGACAGAGGGTGGACGGGACGGATGGGACAGCTATGTTGGTGTTACTTTTGAGAATTCTCAAAAGCAACACTGACAGAGGGTGGACGGGACGGATGGGACAGCTCTGTTGGTGTTACTTTTGAGAATTCTCAAAAGCAACACTGACAGAGGGTGGACGGGACGGATGGGACAGCTATGTTGGTGTTACTTTTGAGAATTCTCAAAAGCAACACTGACAGAGGGTGGATGGGACGGATGGGACAGCTATATTGGTGTTACTTTTGAGAATTCTCAAAAGCAACACTGACAGAGGGTGGATGGGACGGATGGGACAGCTACATTGGTGTTACTTTTGAGAATTCTCAAAAGCAACACTGACAGAGGGTGGATGACGGATGGGACAGCTATATTGGTGTTACTTTTGAGAATTCTCAAAAGCAACACTGACAGAGGGTGGATGACGGATGGGACAGCTATATCGGTGTTACTTTTGAGAATTCTCAAAAGCAACACTGACAGAGGGTGGATGGGACGGATGGGACAGCTATATCGGTGTTACTTTTGAGAATTCTCAAAAGCAACACTGACAGAGGGTGGATGGGACGGATGGGACAGCTATATTGGTGTTACTTTTGAGAATTCTCAAAAGCAACACTGACTGAGGGTGGATGGGACGGATGGGACAGGTATATTGGTGTTACTTTTGAGAATTCTCAAAAGCAACACTGACAGAGGGTGGATGACGGATGGGACAGCTATATTGGTGTTACTTTTGAGAATTCTCAAAAGCAACATTGACAGAGGGTGGATGGGACGGATGGGACAGCTATATTGGTGTTACTTTTGAGAATTCTCAAAAGCAACACTGACAGAGGGTGGATGGGACGGATGGGACAGCTATATTGGTGCTACTTTTGAGAATTCTCAAAAGCAACACTGACAGAGGGTGGATGACGGATGAGACAGCTATATCGGTGTTACTTTTGAGAATTCTCAAAAGCAACACTGACAGAGGGTGGATGGGACGGATGGGACAGCTATATTGGTGTTACTTTTGAGAATTCTCAAAAGCAACACTGACAGAGGGTGGACGGGACGGATGGGACAGCTATATTGGTGTTACTTTTGAGAATTCTCAAAAGCAACACTGACAGAGGGTGGACGCGCCGGATGGGACAGCTATATTGGTGTTACTTATGAGAATTCTCAAAAGCAACACTGACAGAGGGTGGATGACGGATGGGACAGCTATATTGGTGTTACTTTTGAGAATTCTCAAAAGCAACACTGACAGAGGGTGGATGGGACGGATGGGACAGCTATATTGGTGTTACTTTTGAGAATTCTCAAAAGCAACACTGACAGAGGGTGGATGGGACGGATGGGACAGCTATATTGGTGTTACTTTTGAGAATTATCAAAAGCAACACTGACAGAGGGTGGATGACGGATGGGACAGCTATATTGGTGTTACTTTTGAGAATTCTCAAAAGCAACACTGACAGAGGGTGGATGGGACGGATGGGACAGCTATATTGGTGTTACTTTTGAGAATTCTCAAAAGCAACACTGACAGAGGGTGGATAAGACGGATGGGACAGCTATGTAGGTGTTATTTTTTAGAATTCTCTAAAGCAACACTGACAGAGGGTGGATGGGACGGATGGGACAGCTATGTTGGTGTTACTTTTGAGAATTCTCAAAAGCAGCACTGACAGAGGGTGGATGGGACGGATGGGAAAGCTATGTTGGTGTTACTTTTGAGAATTCTCAAAAGCAACACTGACAGAGGGTGGACGGGACGGATGGGACAGCTATGTTGGTGTTACTTTTGAGAATTCTCAAAAGCAACACTGACAGAGGGTGGACGGGACGGATGGGACAGCTCTGTTGGTGTTACTTTTGAGAATTCTCAAAAGCAACACTGACAGAGGGTGGACGGGACGGATGGGACAGCTATGTTGGTGTTACTTTTGAGAATTCTCAAAAGCAACACTGACAGAGGGTGGATGGGACGGATGGGACAGCTATATTGGTGTTACTTTTGAGAATTCTCAAAAGCAACACTGACAGAGGGTGGATGGGACGGATGGGACAGCTACATTGGTGTTACTTTTGAGAATTCTCAAAAGCAACACTGACAGAGGGTGGATGACGGATGGGACAGCTATATTGGTGTTACTTTTGAGAATTCTCAAAAGCAACACTGACAGAGGGTGGATGACGGATGGGACAGCTATATCGGTGTTACTTTTGAGAATTCTCAAAAGCAACACTGACAGAGGGTGGATGGGACGGATGGGACAGCTATATTGGTGTTACTTTTGAGAATTCTCAAAAGCAACACTGACAGAGGGTGGACGGGACGGATGGGACAGCTATATTGGTGTTACTTTTGAGAATTCTCAAAAGCAACACTGACAGAGGGTGGATGGGACGGATGGGACAGCTATATTGGTGTTACTTTTGAGAATTCTCAAAAGCAACACTGACAGAGGGTGGATGGGACGGATGGGACAGCTATATTGGTGTTACTTTTGAGAATTATCAAAAGCAACACTGACAGAGGGTGGATGACGGATGGGACAGCTATATTGGTGTGACTTTTGAGAATTCTCTAAAGCAACACTGACAGAGGGTGGACGGGACGGATGGGACAGCTCTGTTGGTGTTACTTTTGAGAATTCTCAAAAGCAACACTGACAGAGGGTGGACGGGACGGATGGGACAGCTATGTTGGTGTTACTTTTGAGAATTCTCAAAAGCAACACTGACAGAGGGTGGATGGGACGGATGGGACAGCTATATTGGTGTTACTTTTGAGAATTCTCAAAAGCAACACTGACAGAGGGTGGATGGGACGGATGGGACAGCTACATTGGTGTTACTTTTGAGAATTCTCAAAAGCAACACTGACAGAGGGTGGATGACGGATGGGACAGCTATATTGGTGTTACTTTTGAGAATTCTCAAAAGCAACACTGACAGAGGGTGGATGACGGATGGGACAGCTATATCGGTGTTACTTTTGAGAATTCTCAAAAGCAACACTGACAGAGGGTGGATGGGACGGATGGGACAGCTATATCGGTGTTACTTTTGAGAATTCTCAAAAGCAACACTGACAGAGGGTGGATGGGACGGATGGGACAGCTATATTGGTGTTACTTTTGAGAATTCTCAAAAGCAACACTGACTGAGGGTGGATGGGACGGATGGGACAGCTATATTGGTGTTACTTTTGAGAATTCTCAAAAGCAACACTGACAGAGGGTGGATGACGGATGGGACAGCTATATTGGTGTTACTTTTGAGAATTCTCAAAAGCAACATTGACAGAGGGTGGATGGGACGGATGGGACAGCTATATTGGTGTTACTTTTGAGAATTCTCAAAAGCAACACTGACAGAGGGTGGATGGGACGGATGGGACAGCTATATTGGTGCTACTTTTGAGAATTCTCAAAATCAACACTGACAGAGGGTGGATGACGGATGAGACAGCTATATCGGTGTTACTTTTGAGAATTCTCAAAAGCAACACTGACAGAGGGTGGATGGGACGGATGGGACAGCTATATTGGTGTTACTTTTGAGAATTCTCAAAAGCAACACTGACAGAGGGTGGACGGGACGGATGGGACAGCTATATTGGTGTTACTTTTGAGAATTCTCAAAAGCAACACTGACAGAGGGTGGACGGGACGGATGGGACAGTTATATTGGTGTTACTTATGAGAATTCTCAAAAGCAACACTGACAGAGGGTGGATGACGGATGGGACAGCTATATTGGTGTTACTTATGAGAATTCTCAAAAGCAACTCTGACAGAGGGTGGATGACGGATGGGACAGCTACATCGGTGTTACTTTTGAGAATTCTCAAAAGCAACACTGACAGAGGGTGGATGACGGATGGGACAGCTACATCGGTGTTACTTTTGAGAATTCTCAAAAGCAACACTGACAGAGGGTGGATGACGGATGGGACAGCTACATCGGTGTTACTTTTGAGAATTCTCAAAAGCAACACTGACAGAGGGTGGATGACGGATGGGACAGCTACATCGGTGTTACTTTTGAGAATTCTCAAAAGCAACACTGACAGAGGGTGGATGACGGATGGGACAGCTATATTGGTGTTACTTATGAGAATTCTCAAAAGCAACACTGGCAGAGGGTGGATGACGGATGGGACAGCTACATCGGTGTTACTTTTGAGAATTCTCAAAAGCAACACTGACAGAGGGTGGATGACGGATGGGACAGCTACATCGGTGTTACTTTTGAGAATTCTCAAAAGCAACACTGACAGAGGGTGGATGACGGATGGGACAGCTACATCGGTGTTACTTTTGAGAATTCTCAAAAGCAACACTGACAGAGGGTGGATGGGACGGATGGGACAGCTATATCGGTGTTACTTTTGCTGTGCTGTGCTGTGCTGTGCTGTGCTGTGCTGTGCTGTGCATACCGATGATAAACATGCTGAGGAGAATGAGCACTGTCCACAGCCACATCCCCCAAGTCATAAGACGTTTGAGTGGAATTCAAAGTGAACAACACCCACCCACAGCTTCTCTGCTCACCAATAATAAACGTGATGAGGAGAATGACCACAGTGAGCACCAGCATATCCCACGCTGCGATGCACGCCCTGCACCTCCTCCTCCTCAGCGGCTTATCCGACTCCTCAGCAGCAGCCTTCGATGCTGGGGAAGAGGAGGAAGAGGGAGGAGCAGCGGAGGAGGATGAAGAGGAGGGGGAGGGTGAGGAGCGGAGGTGGAGCGTGAGAGCACCGCAGTAGCCGCATTTGAAGTTGGGGGAGAAGGAGGGGAGGGAGAGGCAGAGGCCGCACGCCCAGCACAGCACGTCGTAGCTCGCCCCATCCGTGCTCTCCACGTCCCGATACTCCGCCCGCTGCTGCCCCGCCTGCTGCTGCTGCTGCTGCTGCTGCTGCCCTGGCTGCTGCTTCTGCAGTGATGGGTGCTGCTGCTGCAATTGCTGCTGGTGCTGGCGGTGGTACGGCGGTTGCTGTTGCTGTTGCTGTTCTGCGCCGTGAAGATGCTGCACAACGACTGGGCTCGAGCCAGTGACTGGAACTGCTGGGGCCGGGAATGAGGCCAAGCCCGGCGGGGTTGGGGCTGCCAGCTGGTCAAAGTGAAGGCGCTTGGGAAGCAGAGGCAGCGAGTCTTCGCCTCTCAATCCCCCTCGATCTGTCACCTCTCCTCCTCCCACCGTTGGGGCACCACTGGAAACTGCACTCTCGGGCAACCATGTTTCAGCAGCAGCAGCAGCAGCAGCAGCAGCAGCCCCTCGGCTTTCTCCGCCTGACCCTGATGTCTTCCCTCGGCTGTGTACTGATTGGCCTGGCGACCTGTTGAATGACGTGGACTGGGGGGGTGAAGTGTGGTGGGGGGGGGAAAGGGGGAATGAGGGGGGAAGGTGAGAAAGAGGCAAGTTCCCTGCTGCTGCCTTCTCCCGGTTGTGCACGGACTGGCCTGCACGGTTGAAGGATGCGGATTGGTTGGGTTGGGAGAGAGCGGGGAGGGAAGTGGGGGAGGGGGAAAGTGGGGGAAAGGTGGGACAATGGTGGGAAAAGGGTGGAAAAAGGGTACTTCCCCTGCTGGCTTGCCACGGTTGTGCACGGATTGGCCTGGCGACTGGGGGAGAGAGAGGTGGGGAATAGTGGGCGAAAGGCGGGAGAGAGGTAGAGGAGAGTAGAGGAAGAGAAGAACATAATACTGAAAATAATGGGTGAAGCTACAGCGGGGATTGGGAGTGGGAGACGAAGAGTGAGGCTGAAGAGGGGGATGGGAGTGGGGGACAAGGGGTGGGGCAGGGGATTGGGAGCGGGAGACGAGGGGTGAGGCTGCAGCGGAAATTGGGGACGAAGAGAGCAGGGTTGAAGATGCAGAGACGAATGGGAACGAGGCAAGACGGGAGGTCGCCGGGAGAAATGGGAGCGGGAGACGAGCGGTCAGGTCGCAGGGAAAGCCATGGTTACGAAGAGCGGGACGGCAAGCAGCGGAAAAGCGAGTTTCGAGTCCGCTCAAAATGATTTTTTTAGTCAACTCTAAAGTGGACGATCGTACGCGGAAAGGGAGGGTGAGGGTGAAGACGCAGAGGAAATCAAGATTACGCACAGCGGGACGGTAGTAACGGAGGGGAACGAGCAAGGGAGCGGAGAGGCTTTGAACGTGGTGCGTTGAAGTTCGGAAATCCCTTACCATTGTCAAACCAACCCTAATGCCGAGGGCCACAAAGGTCGATTGTATCCACCAGACCGATAAAACGGAGAAGCTTTTGATGTCACGCGAACAGGAAGAGACGTTGAAGCTGCTGCTGCTCAGGACCCGTCACAGGGAGCCGATCAATTGCGACTCGCAATCCTCTTCGGGACGGTTTTCAGGTTACCAGGATTAGAAACTAGCTGTTCAGTAGGAAAGTGCTGTTCATTCTGCACCGTGTTCCTCATTGGAGGGTGGAGGAGCTTTCGATTCAATGGCTCGTCGATCGCACAAATTGGACCTGAAAGTGCACACGGACGTGGCACGGGGAGTTGAAATTTTCGTGTCTCATCGACTTCATGAACACGCCCTGACTCCAAGTTTAGACGCTATCATCAGGTTGCCCCCTTCACTCAACTCAACGGTACACAAGATGCCCAACCCCTGCACGCGAAATTGCCTCGCACGTTCCAGAAACCTTGCACACGAAGGTTTTTTCCCGGGCAGTTGCACCCACGTTACAAGCACGTCAACCACAGAAACAGAAGAGACCGAAGTCAAACAGTCAACGGTGAGTTACAAAATTTTGCTATAAGCCCTTTTTGCCCGACGCGAATTGACGAAACCTCCACGAAATGCATGAATCACTTAAGCGCCCCCTTCACAAGGCAACCTTGGGTTAGTCAAACGGACATCGTGTTCGTCTGTCTGTGCTTGAACCGCACTTAGTTGGTCTCAGATGGCGGTACAGTCGGTTCAACAGGTTGTCGAGATGATAAACCTGGGTACAGTGCGGCGGAGAATTAACTTGTATGACTCTCCTTACTCGAATTTGTTCACCTTACACTTTGCTCCCCTTCACGGACCAACCATCGTATGTCTGAATCTGCCACACACGTTATTCCGCAATCGCCTTGGCTTCGGAACTTCAGTAGAGCAGAGCATGACAACTGTGAACCGCGGACTGTCAACGTCGCGCGCCTTTTGAGTGTCTCATAATTTCTGAGTTTTGAGACGTCTCAAAAGGTGTTATTCCACAATCGCCGTTGCTTCGAAACTTCAGTAGCGTGACGATTGTGAACCGCTGACTGTAAGCGTCGCGCGGGAGCGGGAGACTGAACGTAGTGCTGCTCACCCGATCGTCACGCGCTGCGCGCGCACTGCCAGGCGGCATGGCGGCTCCGCTGGTGTCGCCCGCGGCGCTGGCCGCCCTGGAGAGCGAAGGCTGGCACGTCTCCCCACGCGCGCTGCTCGCGCTGCTCGCCGCGAAACCCCCCTCCGCGGACGGCGCACCGGATCCGCTCGCCTCCCCCGCCTCCGCCACTTCCGCGCCCCTCGCCAGCGCGTCGTCGGCAGGGCAGCCGCTTGGCGCGGCGCATAGCGCGCCGATGTCTGCGCAGCAGGTGCGCGCGGCGGCGCTAGACTTGGACCTGCGGCGGTTCGGCGAGGCGTGCTTGCCGGACGACGTGAATCGCGCCGAGTACCGCCGCTTGCCAGGGAAGCTCGTCGTGCAGGTGAGTCCGCAGCCCTTTGCCTTCCGCACTCCTCTCTTCGCACCCCCCTTGCTCCCCGCCCTCGCCCTTGCTCCCCACGCTTTCTTTGTTCCCCTACGCCCCCCTTCACTCCCCGTGCTCTCCCCTCGCTCTCCGCGCCCCCTTCTCTCCACGCCCCCCTTGCGCCCCGCCAGGTGGTGTCGGCCGTGAACGTGTGCGAGCCCAGAGGCGGGGAGAACGCTGACTCAGCCGCCCTTGCCTTTTGCACCCCCTTCTTCACTCCCCCCGTGTTCCACGCGCCCTCCTTGCTCTCCCTCAGGTGGTGTCCGCCGTAAACGTATGTGAGCCCAGGGGCGGGGAGGACGCTGAGTCGGCTGCCGCTGCTGCTGACGAGGACGACCGCTGGGACGACGACAACAATCCGCCCGCCCCCATCGCTTCCTCTCCTCCTGCTGCTTCCGCTGTTGGTGTGGATGGGCTGGGAGGGCGAGGTGCAGTAGGTGGCAGTGGGGGGCGAAGGCTGCTGCGTATTCGGGTGACGGATGGCAAGAGGAATGCGAGTGCTGTGGAGATGCACCCGTGCCCGCACGTGCCCGCTGCTCTTGCTCCTGGCACCAAGGTACTTTGTCTGTCTCAACACCAATGCTCTTGCACCAAGGCACCACTGTTCTTGCACCAAGGCACCACTGCTCTTGCACCAATGCTCCCTGCATCACTTTGTCTCAGACAGATTTCTTTGTCCTCGTGTGCTGGCTGCTCTTGCTAGGGGCCAAGGTGGCTTTGTTGGACACCACACCACCATGCATGCACCACACCGCCTTTCGAGCAGGGCTTGGTAGGACTTAGTTTTCATGCGCCGCGCTAGTGGCTGTGTGCATGCAGAAACAGCAAGTGCGCATTCCGGCCACAGGTGGAGCGACAGTCAAGATTCGGCGCTCTTTTTCCTCCAGAAAAGCAAGTAGCGACGGTCACGTGTCACTCATTCCCTCTCCCTGCCTCTCTGCCTTCCTCCCCCCTTCCCCTCAGCTGCTCCTCACCAGCCCCATCCCATCATCCGTCACGGATTCATCCTGCTGGACCCTCAGTGCGTGCAAGTGCTGGGCGGCCGCGTGTTGAGCCTTCTTGAACCTCTCCCTCCCTCCCTCCGCCCCTCCCTGCCTCCCCCCACTCCCATCCAGCTGCTCCTCACCAGCCCCACCATCCGCCACGGGTTCATCCTGCTCGACCCTCAGTGCGTGCAAGTGCTGGGCGGCCGCGTGTCCCCTCTGTACGACGAGTGGGACACGCAGCGCCGCTACACCCTCCTCCCCGCCCTCGCCCCCACTGCCACCTCTACCCGCTCCTCCCGCACCGCCCGTGCCTCCCCCTCCGCGTCCTCGTTGCTCGCCTCCTCTCTCTCCGCTGCCTCTGCCGGCCCACCGCCCTTCCGCGGGGTCACAGACATGCGCCTGCAAGCAGCACCAGCTGTCACGACTGCTAGCACACCTGCCGGCACACATGAGTCAGGAGCAGCAGGCGGGGGGCGGGCAGGAGGACATGGTGGTGAGGCCAGTGCTGCCGGCTCTGCCCCGGCAGCAGCGGGAGCAACGGCAGCAGCAGGTAGTGCATTGAGAGAAGGTGGGGGAGGGTCGGTAGAGGTGGGGGAGGCAGGGGCAGCAGCAGAGGCAGCGAGGGAGAGGGCGGTGGAGCGGGCGAGAGTTGAGGCCGCTGCTGCTCTCAAGCACGTTGCTCCACATGACAGTAGTGCTTCCAGGAAGCTTCTGGAGAAGATGGGGGAGGAGCTGGGGCGCGGCAGAGGCAGGCGGGGCGGGCGTGGGGGAAGGGGGAGGGGGAGGAGGGGGCGGGAGGAGGAGGAGGATGAGGGGGCGATGACTTTGGAGGAATGGGAGGCGAGGAAGGCTGCGGGGAGGCAAGGAGGGGGAAGAGGAGTGGGGGGCACGGTGGGGGGAATGGGAGGGATGGCAGGGATGGGAGGGATGGCAGGAAGTGGAGGGAGGATAGATGCAAGCAGTGCAGCACAAGTGATGTCAGATGAGGAACTTGCGAGGAAGCTGCAGGCAGAGCTGGATATGGAGGACATGGGGGGCTGGGTATGTTTCACTCTCTGCTCTGCTCTGCTCTTCCTCCTCCACTTCCTTGTGTTAGCCCCTCACCCACTCACTCACACACTCACTCACACACTCACTCACTCACTCCCTGCATTGTTTTTTTCCTGTTCTCATGTCCGTTTTTTGCACTCTTGCCATCTTTTCTTACCTGTGCCATCTCATTTCTGGCCCTCCACTGTCACACCGCCATCTCCCACTCTCAACCCTCCATCTCCCACTCTCACCCCTCCATCTCCCACTCTCACCACTATTTCTCCCACTCTCACCCCTCCATCCCCCACTCTCTCACCCACCCATATCCCACTCTCAACCATGCATCTCCCACACTGTCAACCCCACATCCTCGCTACCCCAGGCACACGCAGCCCACACGCCTCCGCACACACACCACACACCTCCCACTGCCACGTCAGCATCGGAGCAGCTGCGCCAATCACTTTTCAGCTTCCAGCCAGAAGCAGAGCCCGAGGGGAGCTACGAGGGGGGCAGAGGGGGGCGAGGCAGGCGGGGGAGGAGGGGAGGGTTTGGAGGGAGAACCAGTGGCAGATCGGGGGGCAGAGGGGGAGGCAGAGGAGGCAGAGGGTGGTAATATTTCTCAGCCCGAGGAAGTTCTTTTTGCACTATAAAACAGTCTTCTTGATTGTCATGCGTTCCTGAATTTTATCCAAACAGTGCAGCACTGTCAAATGTTGTAGCCTATAGTGAGGTTTGTCTTAGGGGGTACAAAACTTAGGGTTAGCTATATGTACCCCAACCAACATCAATGCACCATCCATTCCTCATTCTGACATGGTATCAGTTAGGTTAGGATCCTGTGGGATCCCGTTCCTCCGTTCTCCGTTCGTATCTCCCGAGCCTGATCCTACCTCTCGTTCGTACCGGTTCCGTTGTTACCGCGCCTAGTGCCGAGCCTAGCGCCCTTCCCCCCGTCGCCTAGCGCCCTTTCCCCCCCGTCACGTCGCGCCCTTTTCCCCCGTTGCGTCGCGCCCGTTCCCCCCCGTCGAGTCGCGCCCTTTCCCCCCGTCGCGTCGCGCTCTTTCCCCCCGTCGCGTCGCGCCCTTTCCCACCGTCGCGTCGCGCCCTTTCCCCCCGTCACGTCGCCCTGCCCCGTCCCGTTGCCCCTGCCCCGTCCCGTCGCCCTGCCCCGTCCCGTCCCGTCGCCCCGTCCCGTCCCGTCCCGTCGCCCCTGCCCCGTCCCGTCCCCGTCCCGTCCCGTCGCCCTGCCCCGTCCCGTCCCGTCCCGTCCCGTCCCGCGGCCCTGCCCCGTCCCGTCCCGTCGCCCCGTCCCGTCCCGTCGCCCCTGCCCCGTCCCGTCCCCGTCCCGTCCCGTCGCCCTGCCCCGTCCCGTCGCCCCGTCCCGTCTCCCTACCCCGTCGCGTCGCCCTCCCCCGTCGCGTCGCCCTGCCCCGTCGCATCGTGCCCGCCCTTTCCCCCGTCCCGTCGACCCTACGCCCTGGCCCGTCGCTCTAGCCCGCTCTTCCGCTGCGACTAAGTCCCACCTGAACCCTAATTTGCCTCTTACCTCCTGCTGTTACTCGCCTGCTCGTTCGCGTTAGTTTTCGCTATGGCGACTCCGCGAGTTCTTCGTTTCGACGCTGACGGCAGACCTCTTGACTTTTCCGTCTGGCTCCTTCGCGCTCGCCGTCTGTTAGAGAGTCAAGTCCAGGGGGGCGAGACCCTCTGGTCGCACGCTACTGGTGACCTCCCCGAGCCCCCCGAGCCTGCCGCTTTAGGTCCTGCCCCTGACGATGCTGCTACGGCTCGCTTTGCCCGTCAGCGCGCTGACAGGACGGCTTGGACGTCGCGTGACGCTGCGGCCTGCATCGCACTCAGCAGCCTCCTCCCTGAGTCAGAGGAGGTCCACTTCACTCAGGTTCGCACCGCTGCTGCGTACCTCACTGCGATTAAGGCCCGCTACTCTACTCCCGCTACTGTCTCTCTTGGCCGTCTTTTCCTCCCGTTCCTGTTTCCTGATCTCGCCTCGTTTGAGCGCTCTGCTGACTTGATCGCTCACCTCCGCTCGCTCGACGCTAGTTACCGCGCTGCTTGCACTGAGGCACAGCTTGCACTGCTTCCTCCCCCCATGGCGATTACTATCTATTTCATCGCCACTAGCCTCCCTGACCGCCTTGCCTCCGTACGTGACGCGCTCCTGCTGAAGCACCCTAGTGAGCTGACAGTTGAGGTCCTTGAGTCTGCGCTCAAGGACGTCGAGAGCAACCTTCGCTCGGTAGCTGCCGCCTCTGGTGCTGTGCCCCCCCCACTCTTCCACGGGTGCACAGTCCCGCAGTTACCCACCTTCACTGCCTCTCTTGCCACTGCCGCTACTGACGCGACTGCAGCTGCTGTTACGACTGCGTCGCGGTCCCGCGGCAAGGGGGGCAAGAAAGGTGGTTCTGGTGGAGGTGGAGGCGGAGGTAGCGGAGGTAGTGGGGGTGCTGTTGCGACTGGCGGTGGTGGGAGTGCAGCGTCTGGAGAGACCTCTCGTGCAGCGGCTGGTGACTCCACTGCGCCTGCTGGTGGTGGCGACACCCGAGCTCGTCAGTCGTCTCCTGTACTGCCGGCCCCGCTAGGTGGAGCAGCGGCGTGGTACCAGGCTCAGCGTCAGCAGCGGCTTCAGCAGCAGCAGCAGCCCCTCTCCTCCCAGCAGCCTCAGCAGCAGCAGCGTCAGCAGCTGGCTCCGGGGTCGGGGCTGCGTCAGCCCCAGCGTGGTGCTGCTTACCCTCCCTGCACCTATCAGGTTCTGACAGGTCCTCGTCGGGGCCACCCTTGTGGCCGCTTTCACCCCCCTGGTCAGTGCTTTGCTCAGCTCACTGACACGGTCCGGTTGGCCTACGGGGTTGGCGGTCCTGCCCTTGACTGGCTTCCTCTGGTTCAGCGCTACGGCTCCGCTCTGTGGGGCATGTCTGCTGAGCAGTTAGTTGATCTGATTGGTGCTCCTCATGCTATGTATGCTGTTGTTGACTCTAGTGTTTCTGACTCTGCTTACTCTGGTGTTGTTAGCTTAGGTGCTAGCCTTGCTCAGTTGCCTGTTGCTAGTGTAGGTTCTTGTGTAGACTCTAGTCCAGCGGCTACCTCAGAGGACGGTTCGCTGTCGTTCACGCTGGACTCTGGAGCCTCTCACTGCTTCTTTCGTGACAGCACGACACTTACGCCTCTTCCTGCGCCTGTTTCTGTGGCGCTGGCTGATCCCACTTCGGGACCAGTCACCGCGCGTCACACTACCACCTTGCCGTGTCCGGCTGCTCCTTCTGGGTCTCTCACTGGGTTTCACGTCCCCTCGTTCTCCCGGAACTTGGTGGGCGTGCGACCCCTTGTGAGTCAGCACGTGGGTGTGTGGTTTGAGCCTTCTGGAGAGACTGCGGTGTGTGTTGACGGGGACTCTTACCAGCCTCTCGCCACTTTTGCTGCTGAGCCGGGCTCCGGTCTCTACACTCTTCACACTGGCCCGCGCGCTCAGCAGCGACTGCAGCAGCAGCCGCAGCCACAGCGGCCGCCGTCGCAGCAGCCACTCCTCCCAGTTCCTGTCCCTCCCCCTAGTCTCCTCCCTGCGTCTCACCAGGTGGTTCCGTCCCCTCAGGTTGTCGCGTCCAGTCCAGTCGCTGCGTCTTGCTCCTGTCGGTCGCTTGCCCACCCCACCGTTCTGTGGCACCACCGGATGGGACACCCTTCTCTTCCACGTCTGCGTGCTATGTCTAGTCAGCGTCTGGTCTTAGGTCTCCCGCGTGTCTTGCCGTC